CAGTTCCTGCACGCCAATTATAAGATGAATAAAGCCCAACTATAGGGTACTCACTAATTCTCTCTCCTCGACTGTTTGACTCACACGTACTGACTCTCTCGACTTTATCTATTTCGATAGACAGGGAAATAGTACGCTCTGTTTAAAGATAACAAACGCAGCAAGCAAAGTGCACATCAAGGAGGCAAGAGCTTTTGTTACCTGGCAGAGAGAGCACTTAACTTAGCTATGAGTGGTTTGTCTAACCAGGCAAGATAAGGACGTGTTGCCAATTCCCGACATTATAACGAAACCCTTCGTAAAATTAGCACATCCAGTCGATATGTACTGTGGTGAAGACAGTGTGTCAACCAGATAGTCGAGAGCTGCAAAGCCTTAGTGGAAAATATGAAGCAGCTGCTCAAAAGGTGGGCGTTTACATCAAACTGTCCCTGTTCACGTTGTACCCATTGGAGCATTATCAGGCAAGATGTGAACGCTAACACTGAGTATCTATAAGAGCTTATGCTGAAAAACGTTGGAGTGAAATGGAGTTCCTCTGGTTTTGGCCTATAGCATAAGTCTTATTCATAGTATTTCAATGGGCCCTTTATACTTAGCTTGTCCCAGCTTCGTTCAGAATTTGGTAGATAAGTCGACGCTAAAAAGCTAATAGGCAGTGCAGCAAGTCTTTTTATGGTAGACAGCCTTACAACCTCTGCTTAAGAGCCTTAGACGATTAAGTTTATTCAATTTCCGGCAACCATAATTTAATTTAATTTTTACTTTTACAACATATACTTTAGGTGCTCGAGCTAGCTCTCTCGTTTTCGGTGTAGGTCTAGAGTTCCCGCTCAGCAAATCAATTAACTCGACAATGTGCAATTTTGTGTACACCAAGCTTTTCGGTAAAAACTGTCAGCGTACGGGCACATATGTTAGGAGGTTTTGTAAATGTTAGATGCCATTCAATCTTGATAAACCAGACCAGTTCAAATACTCCTAACGCTAGTTGGTGACCATTCAAGTACATCATGTCAAAGAGTCGATGGCCGCTTTTAAGATGCTGGGAGAAAAGTAACGACGAGAACACCTCCACTGCCTCAGCCATTCCAGTGCAGGGCACAAACAAAAGATCCCATTTCCTGAGCGATCTCGAAATGTGGTAGCGCACATAATACAGGCAGTTCTTTTAAAAGCCAGGACAAGCTCTCGCGGACTTTTTGTACATAAATTCGAAAACAATTTTGTACACGAATGAATGAAAAAGTTCGCGTTCCAGGTATCGGCATGGATAAGGAAGAAAACGTTTCGAGCACCGAATCCGGAGTCGAGCACTGATCCGGTGCTCGAAATGTCTTCTTCCTTATAAAATTTTATACAGTTTACAGCTTTCATAACCACAGTTTGACTAGCCCTGGGATTTACCATAGACTTCTGTATAAACATACATCAAACAAATTGCCTCGAAATGCAGATGGCGGGATATTTTTCTGCAGGAACCATTCCAAATCAACCTGAAAGGCAATACTTATGCCCGTTAAGTATGTCGGCACAAAATAAATTGCCACTAACATCGCCGTAGCACGA